CTCCCTAAGTCCCCCCACCCCCATTTGGCCTAGACATCTTGTTCAACAAGATGAATAGGGTACACTCTGCCTGCAGCGTGTCTGTGCTACGCAACACATGAGGGAGGTGGGGGAGAGGTCTTCAGAAAGTAAGAACACACCAACATCCACTTGTTCATGCTGAGGGATACTCAGAGCCAGGCAACTGGCTTATTATGAAGGGAAAATGGGACAGCCTAAATCTTTTGCAGATTTCACTTGCACTTTAATCTTTCAAACAGATTTAGTATGGTAAAACAAAGCCTCATTATTAATTAAAAGGATTGTACGAGTCACATGCACAGCGCAGTCAACACATAAAGTCCCAGAAGGGCAAGGACTATGCTTTTCTTTAGAACAGAGACTGACTAGAATTGCTGCCTTTTATGTTCCCGCATTGTCCCACCGTCCTGACAACTCAACACCATGAGTTTTGCAGAGTACTCATTAATTCTAATGTGTCACCGATGGAAAAGGAGCTGAGGGGAGTAAGGACCATCAGGGGACCCCCTCCCACTTGAAGAACACTAAGAATTTAGCAAAGCAAGCGCTTCCCATAAAACTGTCCACACCTCTACATTTTCCTTTCTTTAATGACTTCCAAGTGAGCTAATTAGAAACTTTGTGACATAAGAAAAAAACATTGAGCCTTTCCACACTCTCACAGGTTTTCAATACAAATCTGTGTAAAGAAAAGTGAGTGAGGCTGGGCTCAGTGACAGAGCACTTGCCTAGTGGTTGTGAGCTGTGGGTTCAATCCATAGAAACACAAGAAAGAGACAATCACACACACACACACACACACACACACACACACACACACACAGGGGTGGTGGCGAGTGTTTTCTGCATTATGACTTACCAGTGATCAATTACGGGCATTAAAAAGCCTCTTTCTGTTGGTCAGACATTTAGAATGCTGTTTCACAGAAACAACATAAGATCAGAGGAAAAGAATGACTCTTATTGCAGAGATAACCAAGGTCCTCCAAGAGACATATTTTCACTCTCTGGAGTCTAATCAGGATATAGGAAAGCGCTTGATTGACAGACGGGGCTTGTGGGCGGAGTCAGAGTCCAGAGGATAGGAGAGGAAGTTTCAGTGAGGCACAGGCAGGCTGTGTTTGGGGAATGAAAGAGCTTGACGGCTGGAATGAGGGAAACCCTGCTCTGCCGTTGAGACTGTGTGTCCCGTGGGCTGAGGGAGTGGGGCAGGGTGCCTCTCTAAAGGCAGCTGGAATTTAAATCCCTACTCTGCCTGGCTATAAGGGTCTGGAAAGATGTTCCCCAAACCTCATTTTCTTCAGCGGTGAAGGTGAACAGGAGAACACTTCTGATTCACACACAGCAAGTGCGTGGCTGTTCCTTTGTTTGCTATTTATTTCCTCACTTCTCCCAATATGCTCCAGCCTCCCCCACGTTTTATTCTTCACATAGAATTCATTACCATCTCCATACTAGATAGGCTACTTACTTCTCTCCTTATTTTTAGCCTGTATGCCAGAATGTAAGCTCTGTAGCAACCGGGCTTATTTTTTTTTTCTTTGCTACTATGGAGTGGAGTGGTCAGCAAGGCACCTGTGTGCGTTCAGTGCTCAATAGAGGCTGTGGAGAATATGATTGCCTAACATAGCTCCCAGTATCTAAGATGCAGGACAAGTTTCAATTATGAGGTGGCTAAACTGAACCGTGCGAGTAAGCACTGTGTTCTGCAGTGCTGACGCTAAGCAGAGAGGAGGGACCAAGTTGGGGCTGAAGGAACTTGAGACAATGCGTTGGATAGGTCATTGCCACACGGGTGATGCTTGGAAAGGAAGATGAGTAGAAGGAAGTTCCTGGCACTTCAAGCCTACAGATGATCAAACGGCTGCTGTGTACATCCAGGAGGCTTTGACAAGCAAAGAGGGCTGTGAGCATTTAAGCCTGACTCTCAGCCCCATGGTATAAGACCCACAGCAAAGTGGAGAATGCTCTGTGAGAACTGCTTCAGAGAAACGTTGGTCCCTGGGGAGAGCTGGGATTCAGTTAGGGGAGGGAGTGTGAGTTCAGCAGCGAGGCTGACCATGTAGGCAATGGGTGCTAAGGAGGCCGTGCCCACGGGAGGAAGGGCAGCGGGCAGCGTCACAGAGCATAGTGTGACACAGGTCACTGAGGAGGTCTGAGATGCAAGAAAACTCACGGTAGCAAGGTTTTTCTTTGTTGTTTGATTTCTGCCACCAGATGCAAGATGATTTTTATAGTTAAAAAAAAGTCATCCAAGGAGAGAGGCAATGCATTTTTTTTTTTTTTTTTTTGAAAACATCTTGACATTAAAAGGCACTTCAGAATTGTAATATCCATCAGGCAGTGATTTGTCAGGGAAATATAATTACCTTCTACCTGAGGATACTGGATGGCTGCAGCAGCCAGACATAGTGTTTGTGTGTGTGTGTGTGTGTGTGTGTGTATGTATATGTGTGCGTGTGTGTATGTGTGTGCATGTAGGTGTTCATGTAGGCGTGTGCCCACGTGTGTGGAATGACAAAGGCCATAGGTACATTCCTGAGTTTCTCTGCACCTTACTTTTGAGGTAGGGTCTCTTGTTGAACCTGGGACTCTCCAGTGATTCCTGGGGTCCTCCTGTTTCTACCTCTGCAGTGTGAACTGTGGTGCCTAGGTCCTTGGTCCTCATACTTGTGTGGTAAGTCTTTACTAACTGAACCCTGTTCCCAGACCCAGGGTTTCCTCGTGGTTGATTTAAAAAGCCACTAACATTTACATCATTTTCTTAATATGCCCAATGTAAAACATTAAGTTTTCTAGTGAAATATTTACAAGGGGCATTTTTAGAGGCATTGGGATATGTTTAGAGGCATGGTAATTCAGAAGCTTGGTCTAAGGCTTTGTACCTTGTTTGTTAACAAGTGTGAAGAACCCCGTCATTTCAAGCTAAATTCGCTGGTCAATGTTCACTGGTTTCTTCACCGACCCCTCAATGACTCAATAACTAGGTGAGTGTAGAGTCCTAATCACACTTAAGAACAAACAATGAACAATGAAGTTTTAAACACTAAAAAAAAAAAAACAAAAAAACCAAAAAACAAACAAACAAAAAAAAAAACAAAAAACAACAACAACAAAAAAACATTTTTCAGAAGTCAGTAAATAAATGAAAAGCTACTTAGAACAAGTGAAGATTTTGACAGGAGGACCTTCACACTCATCCTCTGGAGGAAGCATTGAGGGAAGTGTAATTCGTAAAAAAGGAATGTGAACAAACATGAGTGTCCTAGGACAGCTGTGTCAAGACGCCATTCAATAGAATGTGCTGAACGGTGTTTTGGAGTACAAGCATTAAGGCGGGGTCATATTCCTAAGGTGTTACACAAGGCAGCAACTTGTACATCATTTTATCATGACGACAGACAATAATTTTTGCGGTCTTTTCAGGTTTCCCTAGGCGAAAACACCCAGAAGCTGACCCAGGCACATGACTGCCTTAGTTAATTTCCTGGCTTAAATAGGTGAGTGTGGACTTTGCTGCTGGCTGAAGTGAATGAGTTAGAGCTCTGGCAGGCACAGGTGTGTGCGAGCTGTGTGTGCTTTCGCTTCCAGCCCATCCCGGAGCGGCTGCTTCTGTCTTACGCCTTACTGACGTAGCTGTCAGTAGAATGATGCCCAGGCATTTTTTGTTTGGTTGGGTTTGGGCAGGTTCTCTCCAGCTAGATGTGAGTGGCCTCAAATGCTCCAGGCAATGTGTGCTGGGGTCCCAGGAGAGCACCAGCCCAGCAGTCTCCCCTGGATCCTCTCATTTCAGCTGATTCAAAGAGAAAATGTAGGCGGTCCCAAGTTTGTGGGAAAAAGACATCTGCTTAGGAGAAATCACTCAGCCCTTGTTCTTGGCTCATGCTGGGAAACAACTTCAGAAAGGTTTGAGATCTGACCATGTTTCCTGCAGCCGTGCAAGCTGCTCTGCACTAATGGGTTCCCAGCTTGTAAGGAAAATTCTCTGTTGAGCAAAATTTGCTTGTAGGAGCCTACATTTCATACTGTTCACGCAAGCCATTCTAATTTTTAAAATGCATTAAAACACACATTCAAGTTCCCATTGTCATAAAGCACAAAGACAAGTTCAATTGACATTCCATTCTAGGGAGAAGAAAATTATAGACATATATCGTTGTAATTTTTTTTCAACCATCTTTTGACCATGGCATAAATGTCACTCACTGTGAAGATGAGTTAGAAGTCAAACACAGAACAGGAGAGTGCTAACCCTTGATGGAGGGTGTAACAAATGGTCAGACGTCCAGTTTAGAATTTTGATCTTATTTTCATGTATTCTCTTAACCTTCTAGAATGGCAAGTTCAGCAGTAAGCTGCCCGCTTTACTGCAGTCACTGCAGTTGTAGTTTGGGGAGATGCAGACCAGACCTTCTGCTAACACTCCTTGTCTCTTCTGTTTCTCTGATCCCCATGGAAGTCACACACACACACATACATGCTTGCGTGCGCGCGCGCGCACACACAAACACACACACACACACACACACGTACAGTTTAAAGGACTGGATTCTGTATCTGGAATGTCAGTTTTCTAAACGAGGCTAAATGTAATACCGATTCTAAACATGCTCAAGTTTGCCACACACACTTGCAAAAGGATTAGGCAAGGGCCTGGTTGACAGAGTCAAGTTCCTTAGCCAAAGAAGGTTCCGTTTTGTTCTGCTTTTAATTGGCCATCATTACTGAAGTAACCGTTAACTGCAAATCCGCTTTAATTTCGTTCAGTATCAAAAATTGAAGAACACATACAAACCAAATTCATGAAATGCTTTCTTTAGTACTCATACTTTCCAAGTAGCCATAGCATTTTTTTTTTCTTTTTAAATTGGAGAAAGCAAGATCAGAAATTTTGGGGAAAACTTGGAGATTTTTAAAAGAGAATAAAAACAACAAAAGGAGACTGTAAATTAGAATCTGGTATGCTATGCACTACTTACCTTCAAAAGTCAAATAAAACTTTCCTCTGTCAAACCAAACGAGGGAAGGCTGTTCATTCTCTGTTTGGCCAGGAGTTGAAGCGGGATGGGGAAGGTTAAGGAAAGGGAGAGAGAAGGACACGATGTGAGTTACAGAGCAGGTAATTAATCTCACTACAGGGAAGGGAGGGAGGAGGCACTGCATGCCGTTAGCGTGCAGGAAAAAGGGAAGGCTGACAGTCTAGAGGTTTTTTTGAATATTTTGTTTGTTGTTTGTTTTTAATTGAGCAAACAAGGCAAAACAAAGCTATGGAGACTGAAGGGATGGACACGCATGTAGGTAGCTTGAGGCTAGGCACTTGTATGCATGGAGCAGATGTCTTCCTGGCCATGCATGGCTATCAGCATATTTTAACTGCATTAATTTGGGCAAACTTTTGTTCAGCAAATTGCTGCATCCTTTTCATCTTTAACGCCATCCCTTTGCTTGTCGGCACATTGATAAACTTGGGGTTGCTGTTTGTAGGCAGCCATTTGCTTAGCATTTCAATGACACCAGCATTGCCTGTCAATTTAAAGTTCACAGATGATGTCAGAGATCTCCCATCTCTCTATGGGAACCGCCTTAGGCATTCAGTCACAACACACCCTTTCCTCTGTACCAAAGAGAAGGGAGACTTCCAATGGTGCTGAGCTACGTGTTAGATTAGAAGGCAGTCCACCGATTCTGCGTGCTCAAACCACTTCTTCCTCTGAAAATTCACACAGCGTGACCTCTCACCTGGTTTGGGCCTTTCCCCTGAGGAACTGTCATGCAACCTGCTGCTTTATAATATGTCCACTTAAGACGGGTTCAGTGGCATGAGTCTGCAATGGACAGGACATGTACAGGGTACATATCTGAGAGGCACTGGGTCTCATGAGGTGAAGAGCATGTCCATGAAGCTTCTAGCATTCAGATGGAAAATGGCTTGGATTTGAAAAAAAAAAAAAAATCTAAGTATCTAGAGATCACTCGGCTAGCACCATACCTGCAGGCATGTCACAGGGCCTTTCAAACGAGGGCAGTTTGTCATAAAAAACATCATCTTCTGACACTACAAACCAAAGAAACATAAACGAATGGAAAACAAAAACACAAATACAAATTCCAAATGAAACCAAGAAGCACAGTTTACTGATCAAGGCAAGGATGAGTTTCATGGCAAAAGGAAACAACTTAAGACATTGGGATTAAGATGAAGATGGAAAGTGATGAGCTTATTTGAGATGACTCTACAAGGAGAAACTGAATTAAAAAAAAGAATAGTCAGGGTTTAGCATCTGCCAATGTGGTGGAAATCAGTTTCATGGAAGGAGTTATTCCCCACCTTCTCGGGGACTATTACTAATAATTGATTTCTGAAAAAAAAAAAATGCTTTCCTTCAATGCGGTTCGAAAGGGGCTAGCCATATGTCCATCAACACGACCTCCTCCCCAGCCCATCCCTCATAGCCCTGACAATGCAACCAGATCACCTGGCACATTCATTTCTCCAGGAAGAAAGGCGTTAGCTTCTAACCTGACCACTACAAAGCAGCGCTACAAATCCAGGGGTCCCCTTTATGAGCTGGGTCATTTTAATTTGCTTGTACCTGCCTTTGATAGTTAAAGATCATTTATTTTTAACAGTGGCATTATACTGATACTTTGAACATGGTTCCAACTGTGGCTAAACATCTTTGGAAACTGGTCATGCCTTTATGAGCTGAGACACTGAATCTCAGTTGTTTTGGCTCTTTACCTACTCTTTCTACTCACCAAACTACAAACACAGGGAATGTGTATATATTTTTACTTTATGATATTAAAAACAATGCCACAGGTTTTAAAGGTGTTATTACAACCTTAATAGATAATCACATAAAACTAGCAATGGAGAAACCCAGCGTGTGCACTGGATTCTCTGGAGCTGATACTGGAGTTGTGTATCATCTGATGAACTAAGTTAGTTCAGAGCTAATCTTGGTCTCTTCTGTTCTTGAAGAACAGAAAGCACTTTTTAAATAAATTAACTAGTTAAAATTAAGATATTTTATATGAATGGGTGTTTTGTTTGCATGAATGTCTGTGTGTGCCCTCAGAGGCCAGAAGAGGGCATTGGATTCTTCGGACCTAGAGTTTTAACCACTGAGCCATTTCTCCATGGTAAGGTTCCAGGATGTTAACTGTAACTCTTTAACTGTACTCACAGCTTGCTTGGTGGTAGAATGATTCAGGAAAATTCCTGTTCCATCAAATGGGCATATAGACATGGATGCTTCATAAGATAAAGCATCTTCTGTTTCTATGATGACTAACTTGGCATGAATATTATTCCCCCCCCCCCCCAGGAAGTTTATAAAATTTAGAATTGCTACCCCACTGGAGGACATATTTTATGTTGCATTACTTAGAATAAGCCACTTTTACTCAAGTTATGGACCAAAGGAAACATTAAAGTCCATCTGACACTTATTTTGTTATCCATAGAGGGTTACTTTTCATTTGTTATGGATTCCTGCCACATTAAAGATGCAAATCAAAATGCGTCATTGCCAGGAAAAGATTCTAAGTATCAGGGCAGCAAAATTGCCTGTCTCGTCACCATTTTACAGTGGCATCCTAAGAAACAGTTTACAGACATCTAAACAGACAGACAAAGAAGCATGAAACGTCTCACTGAAATAAGAAGCATGCCATAAAGTGGGTATTTGCAAGGAGAGATAAGGCTGCCTTATCTCTTCTGCTAGCTCTCATCTGATTCTTATAACTTAAGACACTTTCCCTATTCCGGTAACATCAATAGAATGTATCACTCCCCTAGACCACATAGTGCGGGTCCTATGGGCATTTCCTAGCACATAGGATGTCACCTTTTCACACACTCAGCTGTCTAGAACTGGGGTGCATCACACAGTCAGTATGGTATGAAAAGTTCTACCCTGATATATTTGCTATCTGAATTTTTTTCTGTCATACAAAACAATAATGGTATTTTAAAAATTGAGGCGTTCTTAAATGAAAAATTATGCAGTTATGTAGAAACTCTTCATTATTTTAGGGTAAATGTCTACCTTCTCATGCTGTATTGGGTTCAGTACTCTGTAATCATAACTCTTGCAAAAACTGTCACACTTAAAGTTCTTTATGGACATTTTCTTTTATGAATTATTGTGTGAAGGGTTCAGATTTGCTGACATTTTATTTCTGGAGACAGGGTCTTACTCTGTAGCCCAGAGTTTATGATTCGGCCTGCCTCAGCCTCATGAGGTGCACTACCAAATGTGGCACAGACTTGCTCCAAAAATTTTAGTTCATGTATGACTTTGAGATCGGCTCATCAGTGCCCATGTAATTGCTCCAAGAACAACACAAAGGGCACAGGAAATTGCAGGAAAGGGTTGTGGAGGTGGGAGGGGGCTGCCCATCCATCCACCTGTTTAGGGAACTTGCTGTGAATTTTCAGCCTCCCCCAATCTGCTGTTTACAGTGAGCTGTCATTCAGCAGCAGAGTTCCTTCAGAGAGAAATGGCTGTCATGTGACCCAAAGCAGAAAGGGATAAAGACCAGGTGGGTGAGGACTTCAGTGGGCAGATGAAACCAAAGCAAAACAACAGAACCTAAGGAGCAGATGAGGGTGTTGTGACCAGCGTTCTACTTGTCTCCATTTTTCAAGCCCTTTGTGATTCATCTTGAAAGGATACACACTAGGTTTGATGAGGACCAATGTTGTTGGCTGTAACTGGGGATTTCTGCAGCAGGAGTATAGAAAAACATTGTCCAAAAGCGTGGACACAGTTCAGCTCCCCCAAGTGTTCAGTTCTCTCTATGGTTTACTGTGAGCCGAAAGCACATGCTGGCTGGCCCATCCGAGTCACAGCTCGTCTTAATTTCTTCTTTGCCCAACAAAGCAAATCAAATGGAGTGGATGGGATGAACGAACTTGGAAAAAAAACCTAACATTAGGATATGATTTGGAGAAGTATCTGCTGAAATCAAGGAGATCAAAGAAATGGGGGAGGGTTCGTTTTTACTAACAAGAACAAAGAATCAGAGAGAAATGAGCTAATATGACTAATACACTGAAAATCAGGAAGTCCCAAATTGTCCCAATTGACACAGAAAAGAGACACAGCTATGTAAATAATCTTAAAAATTGATCTGTTAAGTAATTACATGAGCTGGGATACATATGGCTGTGTTAAAAAAAAAAAAAGAAAGAAAGAAAATCACATGAAATTGGGAAAGTGGCTATATTTCAATTTATTAATTTAACCTAAACTTGAAGGTTTATGTGTGTGTGTGTGTGTGTGTGTGTGTGTGTGTGTGTGTGTGTGTGGTGGTGGTGGTGGTGTGATGGGTGACGATGGTCTGGCTCAAGTATAGAATATATGATAGAGCTGAAATTCCCTTTGTGGTGCTCAGAGGCACACCTTCACTTGTTTTGGGGGAATAAATGGGCAGTTGTTCCCTAGAAGAGCTTCTGGCTTTATCTAGCTACTTCTCAAATGGATGATTCCATGATGTGCTTTTCCGCAAGCAGCGTCAGGAATTTCCTGAGCGGAGGGAATGATTCTCCCAAGCAGTGCAGGATGGAGTGAGGTGGTTTACAGCCACCAAGAACTGGAGAGCAACTCAGAGAACATGGGAGTAGGTTCACACCCCTAGGGAAAGTGGGGTGGGGGAGCCCCAGGTCAGAGAGCATGCAGTAAAGGAGAGAGGCACGGGAGAAGATGGGAGGTGGTGATGCCGGGGAGCCACCCTCAGAGCGGCCATTCTCAACCCTTCACTTTCTTCACAGTGTACACAGGTATTGGAGCATTTGTTGAAAATGGTAATTTCCTTCCCCTCCCCGCCCCCACCCAGGGAAAAACTGACCACGTATCACTGCAGAGCAATGTTTAAAAATTTTTTTCTTAAGTATCCCAATGCCAATGCCTATGCCTATATTTATCAACCCAAGAAAACCAAAAAGTGATGAAGAATTGAAAAGTTTCAAGAAAGTGAACTTTCCAAGTTTTTTTTTTTCTTTTTAAATTACTTCTGATCTAAACATTTTCCCTCAAAGGAGAGAATACTTCTGGTTACAAGAAATATCCAAGTATGAGCAGCTCCCTTGGTGACTTCTTTTGTGAGTCAGTCTGCACGGGACAACTTAAAAGAACTCCTACCAAACACATGAATTCTCGCTCTCTAGACTTGTTAACTTGGATGGCTAAAAGCGCTGGCTTCCTTAGCTGAGAAAGTGCTTTCGAGAGAAGAACCAGGTGATAGCAGCAAACACACAGCAGAACAGTTACAGTTAGAGACAGGGCCTTGGGGAGCTCAGACCGTAAAGGGTAGCAGGTCAACAACCGCAAACACACGAAAGAGAGAGAGAGAAATAGAGAGAGAGAGAGAGAGAGAGAGAGAGAGAGAGAGAGAGAGATCATTTTACCAACTGTGGGAGTGGTGGCTGCGCTCAGGGAATTGGTTGATGATATTGAAGAAGTGCTTTCAGCCCGGGCTAAGGGTGCTATCGGAGGAGGGCTGGAGGAGTGTATGGGTGGGCTAAAAGGTCTGGACTGCAGGGAGAAGAAAAGAGATGAAAGTTAGACACGGACATAATACTTTGGTTCAGTATTTTAAAACTTTTATTGTATTTCATTCATTTTGAGTTCCCGTGTGTCCACAGGTACCCCAGGACCTAAATTGGTGCGCTCTTACATAAAGAGGCTTCAAGACAGAATCTGGGGATTATGATGCCATTCAATCTGTGACTGTTGTACAGAGGTAAATGGCATTTACTTCTGCCACAAGCTTCTTCACTGGGCCATTGAGAAGGTTATTCTCACACCTCAATCTTAGAATAAAATTCAAAGAATTGTTAATAGCACACTTACAGGCAGATCCTCTAGATCAACGAATTTCTGCTGTTCATTTATCCAGCTTCTAGGCTTAGAAGCCAGATTTTTTTTTTTTCTTTTCGCTAGAGTTTTGCAGTTATTAAGACAAATATTGTGAAAGAATACCCCGCCTCTCTGAAGATTCACACAACTGACTGTCACTATCAGCATTTGCCTCCAGCTGCTGTGGCAGAACCGACAGCCCAAGACCCGATCCTACCGTCTCAGGGCTTGGCTTGAAAGCTGGGAGCAAGCTGAGGAGGCTGTGACTTCTTTTCAGCTAGCCCATGATGGTCACTTGTACAAGTACTGTAGTGCTTAGACCTGAGGTTGAGATGTCCCGTGTTAGAGGACTCGGGGATGTCATTCTGAGCAAGCTAGAGCAGGAAGGAACCTACCACGTCTCCAACTCCAGGCTTTCCTGGAGGTAGCTTTGGCCGGGATGGAGGCCGGGGAGGAGGTGGAGGCGGAGTGGAGCAGCTGCAAGGAACTAAGGGGGTGGCTGGCCGAGCAGGGGACGATGCACCTGGAAAACAGGCTGGTGTTAGAAACGGCAGCAAACACAGGCGGCCAGAAGGCGTCAGCGCAGAGCAGTGCCTGGCGCAGAGGCGGGGTTTCCTTTTCCTCCGCAGGTACTATACTAGACCTTCCGCACAACACGCTTCTTTTTCTTTTCTTTTTCAATAAAGAAAAAGTTACTCGGTTGAACTATGGTTGATGGCAGAAGCTGAAGCTCATTACCTTGTTGTCATGAGACATCCAATGAAAGGTAAATCCTTGATGGGAGGTGAATTCGGATGACTCTTGGCTGGGGCAGTAGGGGTGGTTCGTTCTGCTCGTGTACACGCGGGACGTGTACACACGACACATTCTCTTGCTTTTTGATCTACGTTCAGAATTTATATCCAAGGTGAAAACGGAAGTTTAAACTTTAAAAGAAGGTGAGTACTTTTTTTTTTTTTTTCCACATTAGAGTTTTCTTTTGCAAACTCAGGTAAGAGATTTATTGGTGACTGTATGTCAGTCAGCCCACAAGTGCTAACTTCACTATCCCGAATAAGTGGTGTGAGTTAAGGACCCACGACAGGTCGCGAGTCCTTTGTGTGTGGAATCTTTATCACAGAAATCAAGCAAGGGCTTCAAAAGGAGTGTCCCTGGGAGCCTGTTAGAGCAGGCTTTGCTACTGATGGTCTCTACGGTGGTTTTTGAAAAGCCTCTTGGATTTACTTTTCTGGCTGTCCATGACAAGCATATGAAACACAGGTGACACACAGAGGCTGGCATGCACACCGAGCTCGGAGCTCAGGGACCTGTCTGTCTTCAGTCATAAGTCCAGATGCATGGAGAACTACCTGGCCCCAAACCTTAGGAGGTGAAATCCACGTTCAGACCGCCCTTGTTCAGAAACCTTGTCACTTGGTTAGAGACAGCAGGGGTGTGAAATCAGGCCAAGGAAATTCCAGGAAATCTTGCTTCTGGAAAATACTCCCCTGCTTCCACATTCCCTTATCAACATGCCCGCCCCCACCAGCCATCTCTACATCTCCCCTGTCTCCACACCCTGCTACCTCCATATCTTACTCACACTAACCACCCCTCCCCCTCACATCCCCCACACCCTCCTGCTACTTCCAAAAGCCCAAACCAAGACCAGCACATCAATCCAGATTTTGAGATCCTCAAAGAACTTTGACCCTGAGGAACAAAATCCACCTCAGAGTCATTTCTTATCCTAAGAGAGTCTCTGGGGGCAAGCCTTGCTTCTCTTGTTTAAAGAGAGAAATCTTGGGAGTGTCTCTGCACTGCTCATCCCTCCTCAGTGCGGAGCCACGGTCACCGGCCCCTCCTGATACCCTCACTGCCTGTCTTTTATTCTACTCTTACTCTTTGTTTCAGTGGTCCAGGATCTATGCTACTAATTCACACACGTGGCGTTATCCTCTCGCTTAGCTTTGAGAATAGATACTGTCAGCATCTCAGAGAAGACTGAAGTTCTCTTAGGGGCATGTCCATGATCATCAAGCACAAATGGTGTGTTTAACTCCAAAGCACATTCGTCCCCCAAGGCTTCAGATAGACTGGGTAGACTGGGGGCCACAACTTGCATACAGTCTGGTATTTTTGTTTGTTTGTTTGTTTGTTTGTTGTTGTTCCCACCTTGACAGGCTTGCGTGCATGTTTCTGAGTCTCAACATCCTTAGCATCTGGCTAATATTCTCTTTAAAAACGAAGTATGTTTGACAGGCCCACTACCAAGTTTCTTTTGAGTACTAATTTAGTACATGTTCTATACAATGTATTTTTAGGAGACAGATGTGACAGTGTAGAAATAGGAAACAAATTTTTAAATGGCAGAGCTTTTGTAGGGAGATTTCACGAAGATTTTTTGGGGGGGGTTGGGGATAGGGTGCTCCATTCAGTGTTAGGACTTTCTTTTGCTATAGGAGTGATCCAAAATGTTTGTTCATGGGTCTATAGTCTGTACTGAGCTGAGGCAAACTCCAGTTTCAGGAGAAAAATTCAAGACCCCCTTTAGTAATGCTTGGTCTGAGGACTGTCACCAGGGCAATATGACTGGGTGAAAAGGCTGAGGACTGACCCAGATGGCTTTTTCTCAGCTGCAAGTGGGATCTTCACCTCTCTGAGACTCCTTTTATGTCTGAAAAAGTTAGAAATGTTCTACCTTCCAAGGTGCTTATAACAACCCAAACTGAAAGCGTTTCTGAGTTTGCTTTACTCTTAGATGCTACGTAACACAAGGCAATTGATACTGAAGAGGACGCTAAGGACAGTCTTTTGATGCAGATAGAGCTAAAAGGAAAAGAAAACTCTTATTAGTTGAAAAGTTGATTATTTTCCTTTTTTTTAATAGACTGCTTACTTAAGTCACACTATTCTTATTGAAGTAATAGGGTTGACAGATACACAGGCGGACGGTACAGGGATGTACAGAAGCTAAAGGACAGATTGATTAACCCCTGCTGGGCGGAACCACAAGATGATGCAGGGGCGTGCAGGGCCTGCCTGAGTGTCTAACAACTGAAGCAGTGTTCCCTATGTTTTTGGGACATTGCTCACTGGTTTCAGGAGTTAGAGTGCAGGATAACATTTGGATATTTCTATCGTCTATGATTTTCAATAATCCTTTTATTTTTACCCTCAAGTAGCGTTTACTCTCAAGAAGGATGATGGGAAATACACTGGGCAATCCATTGCTTAAGACAAACAGGCGCTGACAGCCTTGACATGCTCCTTGCTGCTCCCGATCTGCAGTTTCGTCAGTTTTGTATGCGTTATGTCTCTTCCTATGTGTCTGCTTATCGATGGGGTTGGGAGCAGTGTAGGTAGCTCAGTGGAACTGCTCAGTGGTAGAGTCGGAGGTCATGGCATCCAGCAGATCCAGGCTCTGCTACTCATAAGGTTTGTGATCAGGGCTGTGTTCCTTCTTTGAGCTTTGGTTTTTGGTCTGCTAGATGACGCTCATCACCCTTTCCCTAAGGATCTGCAATTAGTTTGGTCAACTCAACCTTTTCTGGCTAGTTTTATGTCAACTTGGTACAAGGTACCATCATCTGAGAAGAGGGCACCTCAACTGAGAAAATGCCTCCTTAAGACAAGGCTGTGGGCGGGCCTATAGAGCATTTTCTTAATTGGTGACTGATGGGGAGGGCCTACTCCACTGTGGGTGGAGCCATCCCTGGGCAGGTGGTCCTGGGTTCTGAAGAAAGCAGGCTGAGCAGGCCATGGGGTGCAAGCCAGTAAGCAGCAGCACCCCCCACCCCCACCATGACCTCTGCATCAGCTCCTGTGTCCAGATTCTTGCCCTGTTTGAGCTCCTGTGTTGGCTCCCCATAGGACATGTAAACTAAATAAACCCTTTCCTCATCAAGCTGCTTTTAGTCATGGTGTTACATTACAGCAACAATGACCCTAACTAAGAGAAAACCCCAGGGTGTGTGTGTGTGTGTGTGTGTGTGTGTGTGTGTGTGTGTGTGTGTCTATTTAGCAGTGTGTTACTTTCCTGAGCTGGAACATGTGACTCTGAACCTAACTCTTCTCTTCCCCTTGCTTCCACACTTGCAGCAGGTGAGCACAGAATGTTTCTTCTGGACCCTAGCACACACTCCACATAGTGGCCAAGAATAAGTGTCTGCACTGCAGTGAAGTCCTGCTCTACCTGAGGCTTAGGAACTTTGTGCTTGAAAGCAGCTGAAGACATTGGAGCAAATTATTAGGTGCCAGCGGTGTCAGCAGCAGGTAACTCTTCTGAGCCATGTTGTGGCTGGAGTCTACCCAGGTTAGCAACAGGTACCTGTATGGGATGTATACTGGGTGTGTCTAATCACATTTTGAGATGTCTAAGGAAAAGCTAGTCATACCAGGCTAAGTGTCATGAGGAACAGAATTCAAATGTCCTACTGTTGAGAGTCTACATTTTCATTTTGGAGCAGTTTGTCTATTTTCCGTCAATACAAGATGAAGTCACAAATCAACCGGGACTTAATTAAGGAGATAAAGGTATAAAATCTTATATATTCACGGGTTTCACTAGTTAAGTTCAGTTTTCCACTTATAAGTCTAACCCCTTAATACAATGTAGCATTCTCTAGCTCAATTAGTAAGAATTAATAGTCTCTACTGGTAACATTTTAAAAATAAGTTAAAATAAGGGAATGGAAGCTAAACACTGAGATAGTGACCAGATTCTCAAAGGTTCCAGAATAGAAAGCAGGTCAGTAGCCAATTAACTTAAATATGCCAAGTGATAGGCAAGGGAGGACACAGGTGAAGAGCCAATTCCCCTGACCGTAGGTGTTTGCTTTGAGGAGTGCATGATGGCCCACCATTGGCTGTTGGTGATTATTTCTGGAAATAGCCTTTCATAACCCTAAGACCCCTAAGCCCAGGAATAAGAGCAACTCAGGAAATGATGGAATTACAGCCCTTTTAAAAACTGACAGCTACCTTCTTCAGGGTTTCTGTTCAGGAGGTTGTTTACCCTCTTTACAGGTAAGCACATAGCTTTGTATCTGAGACAAGACCTTGCAAGCAAACCTCTGCATGGATGGTCTGTCTGCTCTAGCCTTCCATGACGAGAGGGAGAAGCAATGAATGAGAGAAAAGAGCCTTTGGAGAACATTCTAGAGAGCTCACAGCCCTGTGAGGTGCAGGTGGGCATCAGTAGTGTATGCGTTCAGCCTGTCTCATGACCAAACTTCTTGGAAGTCCCCGGGGAACACAGTGGTTAGGAGCACAGCTCAGGGCTGGATTTAGACAACCCAAGCATCTAAATCCAGACTCTGATACAGCTAGCCCTGTAAACAGTTTTTGCCTATGTCAAAGCGGGGCATTTTAGTACTGAAGACAGGTGGTTGTGTGAGGTTGAAGTAACGTATTTAGGGCTGGGGACTGTAGTTGTTACTACTGGAAAAGAAAAGCTCTCAAGGTTCTTATGGCAAAGATGCTGGCTGGTTCTGTTTACTGCTCTGCTCCCCAAACTGAAATGTTGATTGTTTTCTTTTGCTGGGGGTGCTGGGCTGAGTTCACAGTTAATCCAGCCCACTCTGGTGCCCACAGAATCTTTCACATTACAAGGCACAGAGCAAGGCCTGGAAGACATTCTATGGAAAGAGGCAGCAGTGGTGGGATTAGGAGAGAAGCAAAAGCCATTCCCCTCTATGTCTTTCTACATCTAAGCCCCTCACACTTGGTGGCCTCTTTCCAGGCAAATATCAAAGTGGCACTCAGGACCTCCTGGAACATGCTGAGACTGAACCTTCCTGCAGGGGAAAGGGAAACTGAGGCTCTCACCAGCTGACTGAGCAGTGGAATAAATGGTATCGAAAAAAATCCTTGGTATTTCCTCGGTGTGCATAGCATGCGTTCCTAACTGTTTTTAAATATATATATATATATATATATATATATATATATATATATATATAATTAGAGAACACAAAATACAGCTTCAAATAAAAATGAAGAAAAGAAAGGAAAAGAAATTCAACTTGAGAGTTTGCATCCTGAGTCCCACTGCCTATCACTGAACCCGGAGATGGCCTGATGAATGTCAAAACTGATGTCTGAGACCAAGACTGGTCAGGTGGCTCAGGTGCAAGGGGAAGCATGATAACTCATCCAACAGCTGTTCTCAAGAATCTCCTTGTTAAACCTCATGATCCTCCCCCACACTCTGAGTTATAAACTGTAGAGCCCTTGTGAGGCATCTCACCAAAAGAAAAAAGAACACGGGGGAGGGGGGAGGTTGGGACGGAGAGGGAGGAAGACATTAAACCTGTAATATGACCGCTGTGACATCCATCTTTCCAGAACTTTCTGGAATTCTAAACAATGGCATCATAGCTTCCTTTACATATAAAAGAAAACCACCGCCACCACTACCATCAACAAAACAAAACAAAAACAAAAAACCCAAAACAACCCCCTCCATACCTCCTAACTATAGGGGATAAGTCAGGGCACTCCCAGGGCTGGGAGGGTAGGGCAAGGGCACATTCACAGACTTGGACTATGACTGGAGCATTCAATAGACTATAACATGCCACAGGGCCACAGGACACCAGACCCAAGGAGGAATGGCGGAAGCCCTACAGCCATTTGCCAGGCAGGAGGAGGGTATTGCTCTCACATCGCAGCAGCCACAGCCATTCCCCAGCACACGGAAGCACACTCCAACAGTAAGACATACCACTGGCGGTCCCCGTACCACTGCCCGAGCCAGGTCCGGGGGACGAAACCACAGTCCTGTAGGTGGGTGGTGGTGGGGGAGGTGGAGTTGCTCTCTGTCCCAACCCACACTCTTTAGGAGATGAGAGTGTTTCTAAGTAATCATCTTTAATGAAGGTCTGCTCAGCGACTTTCTTCTGGACTTCTTCTAAATTGAGCGGAGATGGTACATTGCGAGGACCAGGAGGCCCTGGGGGACCTGCCGAGCCTGGGGGGCCAGGCGGGCCTGGAGTTGGGGAGTCAGCTGGGATGTCTGATGCAGCTGGTGGGGTCACCACCTTTTCCCTTGGAGTCAACTCTGGAGTAACATGTTCCGGGGATGCATCAGAGAAATGGACCCACGTCTCCTCAGTATTAACAGCAACAGACTTGGGGGACAACACGGGGCCAAAAATGCTGTCCAGGTCACTGATGGATGGTAGTTTCTCAATTTTGGCCTCTGTGGCTGCCTGGTCATTTCCTGTGGTTAAAGTAGTTGATTTTACATTTTTATTAACTCTTACTCTTATTTGTATAGGGGCTAGAAGGAGGGAGGAACGCAAAGCCTCGCAGGCAGGCGCACTACACTTGTAAGGCCCCTCAGTGGGCGTCCTTCATGACGTAAAAATACCTTTATTGAATTAAGCACTGAAGGGCCGGTGTAGGTGCTCGCTTCAGGATGTGACCATCACACTTCTATGCTAGGGTTCACTCCTTCGTATGGTGACTGTGGTTGGCCATTTCACCATTATTTAAAATGCTGAGCACAATACTGCTCTCAAGTGGAACAGCGGTGACAGTTTTGAAAAGATGCTATCAGGGTCACAGAGACCCTCAGGCTCTGAAAGTGCAGCTACCGAAAGGGAGGGCATTTCAGAAAGCCTGGCTTGCTGAGCACACATAACTAACGGGGTTCACAAAGATTTGGGCCCTGGAAAGGGCCTTCCTCTTTTTAACAAAGTGTCTCCAGGTTAGAATGCTAAACTAGAATGGTGAAACTGACGATAATCTCTGCTAACTGAAAACAAAACAAAGAAACACAACAAAAACAGGACATCACATTCAGCTATAGATATACTTTAAATGTGCTAGAAACGCAAAAAGGTTATTTAAGAAGATTAATCCCACATAAATATGTACAAACACACATGACACACTCCATACAAAACACACACGGGGGGCCACAGCAAGGCATTTACTATTGATTAGAACTGTTCTATGTACACCTGCTTAGCAGAGGAGGAAAAAAATAAAACATTTTTAGAACTTGTTTTCTCGCAAAGCGTAGCTTGCTAACAAACTCGGAGTGATTGCAATGCGTATGATATGATATGTATGATACAGAAAATTCCATTTGGCTTAAATATCAATAGTGTATCCTTTTTAATACATATCAACAATAAGAGGAAGAATTAAAAACTGGCTTCTTCAGTGAAATAGAAAATATTTGATAATTGCAATTTGAAGAACAGTCCTCTTTCTTTCTTCTTTCTTTCTTTCTTTCTTTCTTTCTTTTAAATCAACAAGGTTTTTCAAATTAGAAACTGCTGCCTAAATAGCTAGAAGGCTATTAACTTGTAAATGACTTGTGAGCTATAAGAACTGGCTTGATATTTCCATGTTTTTGATTGGAAAGGAGTTAATTTCCAAGATTCCACAGCCACAGATAAATGGGGTCGTGTTTTGCACAGCTGGCAATAAGTTGTGATTTTGTTGCTTGTAGATTTATTTGTAGCTGTCACAGTTTATGGAAACACAGGGACTCCAAACAGCTGAACTGGCAACTACCTTGTTTATGATGCTGTTGATGACTCTCTATTGGGCTTGAGTTGGTATAAATTTCATAAATGACTGTGCCTAACTTTCTGTTTTTCTGATAAATATCCTGGTTCTGTTTCTATCAAACTTTCCAGGCTGCAGAGACAGCCAATTGTAAAGCTGCTACAGCATTCCAAAGGTGATAAAGAGCCACATTCTAGGGCCCAGGTAAATAAAATCACCATTGCCACTTTTGAATTGCTTGTCCAATAAGACCTGGCAGATTATAAATTGCATGAATGCATAGTATTGATTTTAATAGAAAGGGAAGCTGTGCCTCAAAAACGATATATATAAAACAGTTTACAGCAATTCCTCACCATATTTTACAATGATTACCACAGCCTTTGCAGTGAAATGATTAACTATTTGAATGGCCACTGGGGAAAATAATCCCTCCAACAGTATACTTCTTGCTCTAGGACCCACTAATGCTCTTATACACTAGGCAGTCCCAGTCTTGGTTCTAACAAAAAGCCTAATGGCTCTGAAAGGTGCAAACTTTTACTCCAAGATTATTTGTTTTCAAGTCGTTCAAATGAGAGGCAACAAAGTGAGAGGATGAGTAACTAGTTGACTTTTCATCTTACCGCTAGTTCACTCTACTGTAGAATCAGTGCAGCCCTCATCATAAAAACATATATACGAGAAAAAAATATATATGAGAAAAACTGAGCGTGTGAGTACACGCGGGGACTGGAGTGTACCTTACAGTAAGTCAGCACAATAAGTTGCAGCCGGATTGAAATTCAACACCAGCACTGTGGGCGTCAGCACAGTCTACGCTTTCCCACAGGCATCAAGGGCAACTTGTAGTCCAAGGCCATGGCTCTGTCAGCCACACCATCTCAGAACTGTAAAAACCCAGTTTACCTGTCGCCACTGTTAAGGGGGAGCCTGTCCGAGGCGGGGTGGCTGGTACAGTTTTTGGAGGCAGAGGTGGAGGGGCTGCAGAGAGAGAAGTAAGGGAAAGAATGATCACATTCTTCCAGAAGCATACAACAAAAGTTAACAGAAGCATGATTTGGGATTTTATTCATACATCTGGTCTCGGAAGTGGGCTAGCCATGGTCTAAATTGTAAAAAAAAAATTGCAAATGTGGTGGCTGGTTTGATGTCAACCTGGTACAAGCTAGAGTCACTGGAGAAGAGGGAGCCTCAACTGAAAAAATGGCACCAGAAGATAAGGTTGCAGGAAAGCCTGCAGAAGGCCCAGTCTATTGTGGGTGGGGCCACCTAGAAGATGGTGGTCCTGGGTTCTATAAGGAAGCAGGCTGAGCAAGCCATGGGAAGCAAGCCTGTAAGCAGCACTCCTCCATGGCCTCTGCATCAGCTCCTGCCTCCAGGTTTCTGCCCTGTTTGAGTTCCTGTCTTGGCTTTCTATCAATGCACTGTGATTTAGGACGAGTAAGCCAAATAAACTCTTTCCTCCCAAGTAGCTTTGCTCACTGCTATGTTTCTTCACAGCAGTGACAACCCTGACTAGAACACTAAGAGACAGATTCAGATTCTTTCACTTTATGCCCACAGGAGTTTTTCAACAGGCCAGATAACAATAATATCAACATTTTATTCATTCAACAAATACCAAGCCATAGTTAAGTTCCATTCCTTGACTAGAAGCCAGGGGAACTGTGCTGAGTGAACACTAGCTTTTCTGGAGGGATTGTGGCTGATCATGAATCCTGGTATAACACACAGCCCCTGCCCACGGTGTGATCCTGGGAACAGCAATGGTCCTGAGGGGGCTCCAGGAAAGGCTTTTAAATCCAGCCTGGACAAAGTTGCCTGCATTGTATCCAGACATATTTTGCAGTACTATGCCTTTACAATCATAGACACTTAAGAAATAAAATCCTAAGATAAAAAAGGACAGTATTTTGGCCCCTGCCAAAAAGTCTACCCTTCTGAATAACATTTCTCATCTGCTAGATGAAATTAGGAGTTAATCTTCCAGCAAGTAAACTTCCTTTTTTCTTTAAATGTATGTTGTTGTTTTTTTTTTTCATCTGCAGTGTTTGGTAGATTCAAGAGTTCACATGATTGTCATAAGTCCTCCCTAGCTTCAGCAGTGAACTTTAAGTGTGGGCCCATCTTTCATATCCTGAGATCAGAATGAACCAGGTGGTTCCAAAAGCTAGACAGCCTTGACTAGTCCTCTCTACTACCCACCAACCCAGAAAGAGTGTCTTCCTGACATTCCTCCCCTCTTCACCCCCAGAACTGATATATGTGTATATTAGTGTGTATATGTGTGTGTGTGTGTATATATATACACACAAAAATATGCTATTTAACTCAGGGGCATCTTATTGGTCTGCTTGCTCTGTGGTTGCAGTGTAAATTCCTGTCTTTAGTGTTAGTCCTTATGGTATATAAGAGTCCTGTGCAGTCTCAGCTGTTCACTTGGGACTAGCCGAGACCCAACCGGACCTGTTTGGTACTCATGTGGTGTGATTGTCCAGTGCCTTCAGCTCAACTTCTTATTTGTACATAGCCTTATAGGAAGGGTGGATGAACAAGGGATCATGTATGATGCTGGAAGAGGGGCTGCTTCAAGGCTAACAATGCCAGTTTCTTTTGTTATTTCATCCCAGCTTAGATAGTCTGACCTGGGCTGTTAGATAGCGGTGTCTCTATATAAATTCACATTTTATCTACCCAGGCCTTCTAGAAGTTGCCTAAGATCTTACTACACAAATGGAGAGTGAGATGAGTAGTCACATAACTTACTTCCAGTGGGAAAAGGTCTTGCTAGCTTTGGTGACTCCATGCTTGGGTTAACTGGTTGGCCTGAACCCCATATCTCAGGCTGATCTAAAAGAACTGGAAACATAAAAACAGAATTTCCCACGGTAAGTCCAAACAAGAACAAGAATGTAGAACTTCCGTTAAAGTTAAGCTTTGCAACAGGACCCCCACATCTTGTCTCATCCTGCAAGATTAATTTAGGAGTGTGCCGATCCACGTGTTCTTCGGGCAGAGAACGGGACTAGAGCGCGGTGTGTGGGGAGCAAGGGGCATCTCTGTGTGTGTACATGGAGCTACGTTAAGGGAAAATTCAACTAGAACCTACAGTTTCTACCTGGTTGGTCACCTAAGGACACTCCAGATACAACTATACATACTGTACCCATTCCTGTACCATTCCAAAAGTTTAGAAATTACTTCATGAGCATTTATTTTTGTTGTTAGCTGGTTTATTTAAAGACTTCCATGAATATGCTTTGATGTTGAAGATGTCTGGATTCTGTGCAGTGGTTCCTATTTTTAAAGATTGCACAGGCTTTTCACTCTTTACAGCACCATAAAGAGGAATAATTACTCTAAAGATGCTTGTTGAACATTTTGAGAGAGCCAAAACTTAAAAAAAATAAATTATTATTTTATTTCATGTGTACGGGTGTTTTGTCTTCATGTATGTCTGCATACCTGTGTGTGCTTTGGTGCCTGAGGAGGCCAAAGAAGTTGAATCCCTTGGAACTGGAGGTACCAGTTGGTTGTGAGCTACCATGTGGGTGTTGAGAATTGAACTAAGGTTGTCTGGAAAAGCAGCTAGTGCTCTTCATGATCTCTCGAGCCCAATAACCAGAAAAATGAATAGTTCTTTAGATGTATAAAGCAAATCAAAGCAGTTAGGTATTGGTCTAAGAGCACTGCATCTAACATTATTTTTCTTCTCGTTTGGATGGCTGTTGCTCACATGCAAATAACTAGACTTTTTTTTTTTCAGTAACTGCACTGCTATTCACTGTGTAGTTCAGTAAGTAAGTTGGATGTGGATTTCATTGTAGCATCAAGATTAGCGTAGAGACTTAGGCAACTCCTTTAAGCCCTCTGAGCTTTCCTTCTGTAGTAAAAAGGGAAGACAATAACAACCTCAAGAAGACAGTATTCAACTTAGGAGGGATGAAGACGGTAGTGGGGTAGAAATACATACATACATGAAGAAGGCACATTAAGCCCTCATCTAAGGCAAGCAGCTGTTATTCTGTATTTCATTCTCACAGCACCACCATGTGGTAAAAGTCAATGTCATTTTTTTGAGGGAGAGAAAAACTTAGTGCTCTTAAGCATTTGTCCATAAAAAAAGTAGAGGAGGTGAGACTTGGTGCAGGCACAGCTGTTTTCCAAACTGCAGGCTTTTCCTTCCTAAGCCTTCTAAGAAACCAACAATAGGAAAATCATTCTGAGGAAGTAGATGAGCAGATAAAAGAGGCTTGGCAAGGAGAAGGGCTGGTGTGGTTGGTGCAAACAGCAGAACTTTGCCGAACTTCAGTGGCTACAGCCAGGACAGTTGAGCAAGACCTGTGAGTGGGTCCAGATGTACGCCTTCCTCTGTCTCAGGCCTCTGTGCCTGCTTAAGTTCTGTGCTGAGAGCAGCCTTGCTTCCATGGGTTCAACATGGGGGACAAGCTAGATTTTTTAAAAACTACTTCCATTTTCAGTGGAGATAACTTTGTGTCTGAAATCCCCTGAAAGGGCAGACTCAGCTGCGACAACACCAGCTCTCACCACCAGTCATCTTCCAGTTATGTCATGAAACAAGAGACTGATCATAGGTGACTCTCAGAGTACAAAGGACAGCCTCCCCCCGAGGCTTCATTTTGTATAGTTCTAGGTTACAAATGTAAGACCACTGAGAGGGTATTTCAGAATGCTTTTTTATAAATTTGTCTAACTAAATCATTGAAAGCATCCAGATGTAGCTGGCTGCTACTGATCTGTTCTCCAGAGATGAGGTTTTGGTTGGCCATGTTACACCAATTCTCTACAGTGTGCTTTGGTTAAAAGTGAAGTGTGTCTCTTCTGGAGTTTGCTCTTGCAGCAGGTGTCTGCGAGTTCTCTGGCCTCATCCACTGCTTTTCTTCTTGATGGGGTAAGAGCTGGAGCAAATCCTTGGACTCAGAAATGAATGTAACCATTGAGGACTAAAGACTAGCCCTACTGCCCTCAGAGGACTCTTATCTTCTTAGCAAGAAATAAAACTCTGTCTTGATTACTGTACTTTGAAATCTCTTTGTTGCTTTAGTGTAGTCTACCTGTCTACTTATTGTATAAGTCTTTGTTTGTTTTTGAGACAGGGTCTTACTATGTAGCTCTGGCTGTCCTGGAACTCACTCTGTAGACCAGGCTGGCCTTGAATTCATGGAGATCCACCTGCCTCTGCCTCCCAAGTGCTGGGATGAAAGATGTGCACCACTATGCCTGGCTTATTATGTGAGTCTTAAGGATATTTCTAGAATGTTACCATCTAATCACATATATACCTTAGAGCTCTTTTTAAAAGAACAGTATTTTTAATTGTGTGCATATATGTGTCTGTCTATGCATGTGAGTGCAGATGTCTGTGGAGTTCAGAGGAGAGGGTTGAATCCCTAGAGCTGCAGTAACAGGCACTTGTTCAATATAGGGACTTCAAATTGAACTTGGGTCCTCTGTAAGAGTAGCATGTGCTCTTATCCACATTTCCACAAATGAGGGGCCATATCCCCAGCCCCACTTTATAGAGTTTTTAAATCAAACAAGTTTTATCATGACAGTTAATAATATTATAAAGTCACTTATTGGAAATATATGCATTGGGCATAAATACAATTCGAATACAGAATAGATCCCCCTTTTAAAGGGGTGATTTCTATCAACAAGACATACATTATTTACAACCCTTCAAAAAACATGGTTAATTTTAAACACTTAAATATTTAACTGTAGTGTAAGTATTTGGTAGGCAACCCAAAGCTCATAGCAGAGGCCTCGCTACTGAGGGTGAGACCAACACACTCCATTCATCCTTCTGTTCACATTTCTCACAGAAGCTCTCGGAGTGGATTTGTGTAGATCCACATTCATTTTTACTGGCCTACTTTCAGGAGCAAACTTGTTATCCGTTAGTTATTCTGGGAGCAAAATTCCAAGTCCTAGAGGAATAGGTAGTTTTCAACTAAAGTGAGAGCATGCGTCCTTGTCACTTGGAGCTTTAGTTTCCACCAAGGGAGGCCGATGGCACATTCACAATACATCTCAGCTATGCACATTTGCCTTGGAGAGATAATGTCATAACAGTGCTATAGGCATGCAGTTCCTTACCTTCCGTCTTGTGTCCATCAAAAGCAGATTCTAACGGTGGGCCAAAGAGGGGAGCAAGGGCCAGAGTGTCGTCCAGAGGCTTCTTGCTGTATCACATTTGTTTTGGAAGAATAGAGAGAGAGAGAGACCAAAAATTAATGCTCAAAGCCACAAACTCTCAAACACTTTTCTTGTTTCCACGAGCACACGCATTTGCTCGTGCAGGCACGTACGCGTGTATACAAAGCTTCTGTTGGGCTTAGAAAGCATCACACGAGGATGTCATGCAAGAAAGGGTCATGGTAGGAGGTAAGATCCTGTGCTCCAAATAGAGGCTTAAGTGCAGTTCCAGTAGAAACACAGTGAAAGAGAAAACACTTTCAAAGCAGGGTCAGTCTTTACACATAGAAGTGGCATATTACAGATACCAATTTATTACAAGGCATCTTTCTGTCACAGTATTCAAAAACTATACTTTTTATGGGTTTGACACAGTTTCTTATAAAGGCCAGGCTGTGTTAAAACTTATTATCTTCATGCCTTTGCTTCCTGTACACTAGGGCTACAGCTATGTGCCAACACGCTTGACCTAAAAATCTATACTTCTACTGGCTAGTTTTTATGTCAACTTGACATAAGCTAGGGTTATCTGGCAATAAAGAACCTTAATTGAGAAAAATGTCTTTATAGGATTGGTCTGTGGGGTCATTTCTTGATGTGAGGGCCTAGCCCACTGTGGGTGGTTCCTCCTCTGGGCTGGTGGTCCTGGGTTCTTTAGAAAGCAGGCTGAGCAAATCCATGAGGAGCAAGCCAGTAAGCAGCACCCTCCATGGCCTCTGCTTCAATTCCTGCCTCCAAATTCCTGCCTTGACTTGATGATGAAATGTGACCTGAGGCTTATATAAACCTTTTCTTCCTTGAGTTGTGTTTAGTCATGGTATTTTATCAAAGGAATAGAAACCCCAACCAAGGTATCACCTGATTTCCTGTAGTTAATACACTTCAATAAAAGTCAAGCATGAGCCTATTTAAGTTGTGCCCAGTAAGTTTGTGTTGGAATAAAGAAACTGAGATAGCCAGCTTCTAATTTCATTTTGCCCCCTCCCGCCTAATAAGCTAGTGATGTCCCAACTCAGTACATCTTAGAAAGAGCATTGAGATATCTTGTCTTTCCTCCTATCCACTAATACAGGCTAATGATTAAGCAGATGCTGCATAATTCTCTCCATTCCTTCTCCAGACTTGATTTTTACCATCTGCGAACCTAATAATTTCTGTGTGAGTGAGTGCCATGCAGGTGAAGGTTGGGGAGGAAAGTGGGGAGGCCGGTGGAGGATGAGAAGACATTAACACATCCAAGTTTTAAAGATATAACTAACTCACTTTGGAAAACAGTCACATAACACACTTCATTCAAAGACTCCACGGTGAGATACAGTAGTTTGCAGTGGGGGTTGGGCAACAAAGTGGAAGGTTCTTTCGGTTTAGAAGTTGGAATGTATGATGAAAGTATTTCCAACTACCAGACTTCTCTATCTTTGGAGACAATATAATGTATCTCAGATGAACATTCCAGAAATTAAAAGACCTCTTTATAAAGCATGTTTCTCATCAGTGAGCAGGCTGTATATTCTGCTATAGACAATTGCAGACCCTTAACCAAAGGTTCCCCTTCATGCTGCATGTGTTAGAAATGACAGCATATTTAGCCCACGCTGTGGATAGATGAACTCTCGCACATTAGGTCCTTCAGTGATGGAGGCCTGAAGGATATTTGCCGAACAGTTAAAAGTCCATGCTAAAATGCCACTGGTATCGCCCATGCTCACCTTGTAAGTTCTGGAGTTGGGGTGGAACGCCTGGGTCTTGCGACTTCTTCACCTGACACACAGGACAAAGGACCTTTTTAGGTATATCTTTAGCAGTCCCTTCTGGTATGGCATATGAGTTATGATCGGAAACACTTAGAGATTTAAGTCTTAATCAATAAGCAACTTAATATGAAAACTGAAAAACAAACCCTCTCTCCTGGCAATGCCTCAACCCTATATTTGCCATATGTAGTAGGATTTCTCTGGCATTTGTAAAACCTCATAAGTCAAAGAACAACCATAAACGAGCCAAACAATTGAAGATTTGTATGCTGTGGAGCCCAGAGAAATAGCCTATCATTCTTCAAATGCCTACTGCCTGGCTGGATTCTGATTCTCAGTTACCATGAGGGAGAAATAATCCAGGCCATATGCCCATAGTACACAGATCCAGTTGTCAGCCTGATCCTTCTATAAATGGCAAGAAAATGTTGCACCTTTAATGATGAATTTAAAATTTCCTGGGATACATTGAATGTGGCAGGAGGGACATCAGATCCTATATATGATATCTTGTATCATAACACTTTGGTGGCTGAACATTTTATATCCAGTAATGTTAAGAATGGATAAGTTATATCTGCCTTTACTTCTTTGTTCACTTCCCTTCCCTCCCCACACCTAGCACCAGTGATCAAACACATTTGATTAAATTAGCTGACAAATACAGGAAGAAAGCATCAATGTTTTCCAAAAAACATATTCATTTTGAGAATTTAAGCATTATTCGGAACACAGATACTCTCCATCAAAAAAGAAGTCTTTGTTGTAAATGTGTTGTTTTTTTTTTTAAGCCTTAAAAGTCAGTCCCCAAACTGCAATTCGAATGCAAATATGCTCCAAGATCCAAGGAACTATTTCTTCTGCCAAATCATACTCTATTTCTGGGAGCTAAAATATACTTACTGGATAAGTTCCTTTTAATTGCACCCTAGAATTAGAAATAAACACTATAAGGCTTAGGACCACAGATATGTTATGTACAATATGTATTATTTCTGTTACTTCAATTAAACTGAACTCAAAGATACCCCAGATTGGGAAAAGGAAATTTGCCTCAAAACCACATTGAAGTTAGAACCTGCACACACACACGCACACACACCAGCTTTTCATGCCTCTGTAGAGTGAGGGAGAAGAGGGAGAGTAATCTATAAGTCACCAGCATAAACAAGCCCCTTACCTGGGTGGATTTAGTAAGGACACAAGTTAGTCTCTTACAACTAGAATCCTCTTGAACTCTAGCACATAAGAATCCAAACTTATTAAATGCTTAGTATTTGAAAATTCTGGAGTGTGTGGGTACTGTCTGTTCCTGGTCAGATGGGACCCTGAAGCGGTTAGTAAACATTCATCAGAACTGACAGGACTTAAAGGGTTAAAGTAGTGGCCTTTAAAGTCTACCCAGGTCCAGCTGACTTGAGTGGTTTACCATGGGAGCCCAGAAGCTCCACCCTCCCTACCCACCTTCCTCTTTGGCTTCCTCCCCTCTCCCCACCTGCTGCTACCAGTTGGCCAACCAGGAGCCATCGCTTCTTGCAAAGCCCCTGTCAGAATGTGAACAGCTCTGGCAGGAATAATCCATGCAGGTCACCTCTGGGGCTAGAGTCTTGGCATAAACTTTTTCAGATGACAGGAAGAGCAACTCATTGCAAAGTTCTGACTGAAAGTTAGACGCTGAGAAAGGTTCTTAGCACGGGCACTTCTGAAAAAACAAGACTCTGGCAGGGAAGCTTCTAGAGGCAGAGCACGGTTTGCCTTTGCAGAAAGGCAGGGAAAGTAGGGGGACAAAGAAGAGGTCCAAGCAGTACTCACCCCCCCCCCTCTCACCGTGGGGATAGAACTGCTGTTCTGTGTTCTCTCAGATTGTAATGTCAGCTGTGCAGGGCATGGTTTAGCACTGGACAGTAGACCCATGAGCTGCATTTTATCTTTCTTAGGCCTGGCAAATCAGAATTTTTCTGTCCCAATTCAAATCCATTTATGACAGAGGAACAGTCTGAGTCAGAACAAACCCATTAGATGTTTCTTGGTGGGTAGCTTAATCTTACAGACTACATTTTCTAGCTTGTTTTGCCTGAAAAAGGCAATTCGTTTGGTCTTACTCTGTGTGCCTGAGAGAGAATGATCACATTATTAGTAGTGAAATAATATGCTGATTTCAACCTGACTTGCTCATTATGGGAGCTCAGACACACACAGATGACCAAAGAATGAATTAAAGCAGAATTGAAATGTTTTCCTGGGTTATGGACCCTCACATAGGAGATCTGCATTAAGGTCTAAAAGAAGAGGCATAAGGGTTCAAGTACTGAATTCCAACAATAATGAGCTGATTGAGGGAACAGGGCCTCATTCTGTACTGCAGCCTAGCAGAGAACTGCAATCTAGCAGAGAGGAGATAGCAGAGCCTGAACTGAAGACTTACAGTCTATCTGCACTGCTCACGTTATTAAAATTGCAATACCCAAGGAAGCAAGAAAGGCAACTCTTCAGTATTCACCAAGTACCACGTGTGTGTGCTCCTTCCATAGACATTTATCCCTGAAAGTCAGCAAGGTAGCTGCTGTAACCGTATCATGTGCACCTCACGAGTGAGCTAAATGCAAGCCAGACACGGAAGAAATATACGGGAAGGAATAAAGCGATCGCAGAGGAATAGATTCAAGTGGCCCGCAGCAACAAGCCAGCTCAACAGGAAAGAGTTTCCTTGTCAGCTGGGTGTATCGCACGGCCCTTTGAGGACCTGAAGCTTCGGAGTAACAAGTGGAGAATGAGGCTGAGTGCTGTCAACACAGAGGCCACACCCAGGGAGGAAGCCCATTGGCTGAAGCCTCCTCAAGCGACCAGGTTTTCATTTCAATGATTATTGCTGACTATATAAATGTATACACATGCACGTATATAAATTAGTGAATTGTCAGTTTGCATTAATACATTCATTCCTCATGAGTTACTTCCCACAATCTGGGAAAGCACCTAATGGCTGACTTGGAATGTCTCTCGAGATGCCGTCCTATAATTTAAATTGAAAACAAGCAGCTCTCCACCCGTGAACGGTGGTATTTGCCTCACGTGGTAATTGATTGTTGATTGGCACACGCTTAGAGAGCTTCGCCCTCCTTTGCCCTCCCTCCCTCTGTCTCTGTTCCTCTCCCTTCCTCCCTCCCTCCCCCCTTCCCCCTCTCTCTGAGATAGGATTTTGCTAAGTATTCCCAAGTGGATCTTTCGCCTGAGGTAAATGGCTGATTTCCCTTTGAAAGGTGAGGACTGACGTGATGAGTATATTGGCAGATTTGTCGAAAGCGGTGGGGGTGCAGAATGACGTGACAACCTAGTGTGTGCCTCCCTTCCTTAGGGCGAATTATGGTATGTATGAGTGTGTAATGCAAGTTATGGTCCAGGGACATATTTTGATTTGGGGCTTAAAAGTGATGTTGTTTGAAAAGTCTTTTCTTCGGTTTCATTAACGTATTTTTTTAAACATTTTACTATTTTAAAGTTATATAGGTACATGCATGCCCGTGTGGGCATGTGTGTGTGTGAGTGCAAGCACATGCGGAGTCAAGAAAAGGGCAGACTTCCGTGACTGAAGTGAAAGGCAGCTAAGAGCTGGGTTCCCAGCTGTGTTCTGGGAACCCAACTCAAGTTCTTACCTCTTAACCATTGAGCTGTCTCTCTAGCCCTATATCATCATCATCATCATCAAAAACATTATCATTATTATTATTATTTCTGACAAAGAAAATTTTCCTCCCATTCATCACTTGCCACCACCATCATCACCATTATCACATACATATACCCCCTATACCACACACCAGATATATATATACACTATTCAGTATCAATTCATTTTGTTATGGAAAAAAAAATGCTCTGCTAATTCTAAACCACGCCTTCAAACTTAAGACAACCACGGAAGCTTCCAACCAGTGAACCCAGTTCATTTGCTTCTTGTGCCCTGGGTGGTCATAAAGGTAACGGGAAGCCAACCTGGCCACCTCCCTTTGGGCAGCAACTTTCTCTACACATGTTTTAAGGTTTAAAATGTTGAGAGTTCTTACCGGGCTGCGCCTCTGTGATCAGCAAAAAGGAAGAGAGAACAGACACCTAGTCAGAGAATGATGGATGAGTCAACAGGCGTGGGTAACAGAAGACTTCAAAAACAGTTACCAACCATACACTCTGAATCACCAGGTGAGAGCAAGACCTTAGGGATCAAGCCCCAGGAAGCTTTGGAGAACTCCAAAGAGAGACTACTGTATACAGCTTTGCTATGGAAGCGGAGCTTTATGAATCTGTCCATAAGAGCAAGGCAGGAACGTACAGAATCCTCATCGGTGATTTATTATAGCTTCTCATCGTAAGTCGTTTTTCTCCAGAATGTTTGGCAAGGAGACATATTTAAGTTATCTAAACAGTCCAGACAAGTCTGTTTCCATCAAGAGCATGCATCAGCCTCACTGATGCCGTGTATTCCTGTAAGTAGGCTGTGAGAGAGCCCCCAAAGATGTGACAGGACACAGGGGACCCACTTTTTGGATTTTCTCTATTGTTCTTAGAATGTCCATTTGAGGGGAGCAGTAGTAGTTATTTTCGTGCAGCCTTGGCTTGGTGCTTTGGGCAACCTTCTTAAGGATAACCCCTGGTAAACACACATGGGAGCTGTGAAAACTGGATGACATCTGGAGAACACACCACACGGCCACATTCCTCTTTACTCCTCCAGCCTTGGTGACAGCTGCCATCAGTGTGACCAACACTCTCCTTCTTTGGGGTCTTTCTGCTGCACCAGGAGGAATGCAGATGTGGGAGATGAAGGAGCTATGCAAAGTTTTGCCTTTAAGATCCATTAGAAGTTAGATGCTTCCTCCGTAGAGGCCGGGTGCTCAAACACAGGGACACACAGCCACATCTCGGGAACAAAAGCTTGTGCCTCCAGACTTGGGAGGCTGCCATGGAGCTTAGTTCAAAGTGAGGTCTGACCCGATTTCAAGGGTGGCATTAGGAGAGGACTCCTAAAGTGAATCATGGGTGATGCTAAGGCATGGGCTATCATCTCGGCATGATCATTTCTGAACTAGGCTTGTAAAGGAGGCCTCTGGACATATGGTAGGCCACATGACTCCTGGTAGTTTAGACCTTATTGTTAGGTCTTTAGGTACTACTACATTTCCATCCCAGCTTTCTTACCAACCTGTCTCTCTGTGTGGTTGCAACTTAAGGAGTATTAGAATAAAAGGACAGGAGTCTGTATGTATCCTTGGGCTGAGATTACCGTTTTGAGGAAAAATCACTTTTATATGACTATTTGGGATACATTATTGTTTAGTGACCAGGGGAAAGTTCTTTAAATAAAGAAATATGGAGGTTATGTGACAAAAATTAAAAGTACTGTAAACAAGGCACCAAGACGATAAATTGAGGGACTATGTCATAATGCTTAGGATAAATCATGGAAAATAAAATGCAGACTGCAGCCGAAGAGAGGCAGACTTTCTTCATTCACAATTAAGCTAAACACTTTCAAAATCTTATCAAATATAGTAATTGCAAATTAAGTCCTATCTTAATTTTCTGAGTTAAAAATGTATTTTAGTAATCAGTTCATTCTTAAATTTTTCTAGTAAGAAGCAAGCGCCTCTGATAACAATTTAGAGACTTCATTTACATTTTTTTTCAACCAAGGACTAGCTGTTCAAATCCATGCAGTTGCAGGCTGATTAGCAAGAATCCAAAAGACACAAAGCTGTGCCAAGAACAGATGCAGATGGCTTCAAGGTCTGTGATTAAGAGCTTCTGCAGTCCTCAGAAGCAAAAGATTCCTAGAAGTCAGGTGGAGAGGATGTACACACATCGTGACCATTAAATATCTCCACAGGGCAGAAAGATCAGCGAAGTCTCACCTGGGGCGGGGGGCAGTCTTTG